TTAGTTCTTTGGAATTTTAACGAGCTCGAGATATACGAAAAGCCAAGTTATCGTATAAATTGCTGCTACCTTTGTTTCCATGTTAACTCTACATTCGTGAGTCAACTATTCTTACCGGTAACCACTCAGCAGATAAACATTTTAAACTACAGCGACAAAAGGTGGTCAGAGTTCTCTTTCTTTTTTAAAAAATCTAGATCTTTAATTGCAGTAAAAGCCATCGTCTCTTTTGCAATTTTGTCAGTTTAATAAGGTTATATTTATAATATTTCATGTAAAACTCACTGTTGGCCAACGTAAACGCACGGCTGGATTCCGTCATCGGCTAAGTCGCAGAATTTAAAGCTAGACTAGTCGCTAAGATACTTCCGAGAAAGACAATCGCGAGTTGAAGGAGAGCCTTGAGTTCTCCCAGGAAGACATCACGGACTTGAAACCATGCTCATCCCGACTACATGAAGTCGAAGAAGAGATTGAAATGATGTGCGGTTCCCTCGAATATTATTACACTGAAAAGATTGTATATCCGGCTGGAGAACCAAAGTAGAAGGAAAAATATTCCAATAGACGGCATTCGAGAGGAAGAAGCGGAAACCTGGGACAAGACCGAAACCAAAGTGAAGGAGATACTCAAAGAGAAGCTTGACCTCGATGAAGAACCGCATATTGAGCGAGCTGATCGAGTCAGAAAAGCATATGCTGCAACTGACTCCGCAAGACGTCCAAGGACCATCTTTTGTCGCCTTCGCGATTGGAAGTAAAAAGACAAGATCTTCAGAAGTGCAAGCAGAATTAAGCCCCCTGGAATTTTTGTTAATGCGGAAGATCTGGCACAAGAAACCCTTGACAAGATTGAAGAGCAGCGTCCTATGTTTGAAGAAGCGAGAAGAAACGGGAAAATAGCCGCTTATTTCGTTTTGGACAGGATGGTTATTAAATAGACAATTTGGCGTCCCAGTTAAGTACAGCTACGTAGTGTTGATGTGCTTTAGCATTCTATAATATTCATAGTATCTATTTAAATACTTATTTTTTTATCAGCCATGCGTGGTTTCGATCCCTAATCACACTTTACCTTTTCATGCCTTAGACGATCATGGTTTTAACCTTGAAATTTACCAACGTCAACATGGTCCCGGGTCCTGAGAGACTTTCTAGCCTAAATATACCATCCTTTATAGTCACGTCACAATCCCCCCTCCCCCCAGTTCTCAGCTTCACACTGAAGTTTTTTTTAATGGTTCCTTTACACAGTCAATATTCTTCAACTCCACAACCCAAGATGAGGTCTGGTCTCTGAAATTGCGAAAACATTCCTTCCAAGCAAAGCAGCTAGCTACGACCGGATTCCAATGACAGTCATTAAGGAGTCTATTCTACTGACTTGATACCGAACCACTCACCCATATCATAAACTTGTCTATTTATTCCTCCTTTAAGAAAATACTGAAGATTAAAATATTAAGTGAATACTAAAACTGATAAAAAATCTTTCCATCTTCGACCTTTCGCCATAGTTGCATCCTTTCTTCAATTGATGTAAGCAGCTCTAGACCGTAGTTCGAGGACGCCTAACCTCTCACAAGTTCTGGTCCTGTAGTTTCTTTTAAGCCCCATCACCACTTCTTTTTTCGATGCTTGCAATGCAGTTCGACTAACAGAGGAATGAATGTGCAAAATCATACAATCAATTCTTTTGAAATATAAAGTATTAGACTTTTGACTGCGCTTATTTCTGTCTGTTAAGGTTATACGACGGTTAGAGCGCATGACTCGATACCCTATTACTACCACGTCCAGCTAACATATTTCTAAGAGCTGGGAGGGAAAAAAACGTCATTAAACATTAAGGGTCGGGTATTTAAAAGACTTACTTAACTAACTTAAGATAATCGTAAGACAATCAGGCTGGTCCGTTTATAACTACCTAGATCAGGTTAGAGAGGTGACTTAATGCACATTTCTGTTAACAATACGTTTTGATATAGTCAGCCAATATAATCAATAAGCTCAAATGCTAGATCATTAACTATCCCAGTCGCCTACCTTTCCGACTCACCCGGTTGCCTAGCAACCATGGCCAGAATAGTTAAACACGCCAGAATACCACTGCCAAACGTTTGTGCCAGAATTCCTTACCTTTGTGTAATTTCCCGGCGCCGCACAATGTAAATGTGCCCTGAGGTTCCCCTGACGTTACGGAGTGGGGGAACTCTAAATAAATGTGCGCACAAGCGTGACTCGAATGGTAAGTAGGTTATGAATACGTGACCGAGCTTAAATATTAGCTAATATTTGAATAACGCGCATATTCTAGTCTGCGGTGCACACACCAGCGTGAGAGATCGGATGCTCAAACAAACGTAGCTTCAATTCTTCTACTGTTTAAACGCAAATTAGGGCATTTCTGAACAATTCTGAACGCTGAGGCCGGGAATATGTTAGAATAACTAGAAGAAGACATCACGCAGATTAGGGTCATAATTGACCAAAAAAAAAAGAAAAAAAGACAATGGACCAGATTACAATCTCTCTAACGCTCCTCCAGATTTTCTCTCTATTTGACAGTAAGTAGAATTACGTACACTCATTTGTGGCTTAAATACATGCTAACACTGTGAGATATGTTCAAGTCAGTTGTGTAACTACCGTAATTACCGTAAACAGTAACGAAAGTAACGACCCCTCGCAAGTAGCGAACCTCCGAAAGAAGCGATAAAATGTCACAGGTGTTAGCAAATCCCGAAAGTAGCAATCCCCCCGAAAATAACGACCCTCCGAAAGTAGAGACCTCAAAACTAATTTCCCTTTTTGAAAAAAATAACGGACATGATAGATATCCTGAACAAATTAAATGCCACAATGATCCGAGGTTTATTAATAATGATTATTTGCCATTCAATTTATAACCCTCAAATTACAGGAAATACATTACCTTTTTTTCTAAAGTATTCCTTTCACATTTTTTTTGCGATTTTATTTTTAGAAGTGCCCATGTGGAGTACACGTTTTAGCAATCCGAAAGCAACGACCCCCTGAAAGTAGCGAGCCTCCGAAGTAACGAGGGTCGTTACTTTCGGAACTTTACGGCAATTTGGCAATTAAAAATGGCCTTGAGCCTGTAAAGAAATAAGTAATTTATAGTATTCCCTGTCTCCCAGCTATTTTTCTTGTCCAAAGTCGCAGACGTGGACAATGCAATTTTTTAATTAAGCTTCAATACTTGAGCAAATAATCACAACTCTTATGTGACTCTCGTTGTGTAACACTGTTTGTTTTACGGCAACATGCACTACGTAGTTTTATTTTGCAAAATTAAAAAATATATATATATATATATACGTATAATTTTTTTTAATAATTGGAATATGACAGTGGCCCATCACAGAGGGTTAATATATTTATCGCTCCCAACTTTTCAGCAAAAATGACGAACGAACAAATCCTCATCACTGCTTATTTATCCAGTGATCAAACTGATTGCGAAATGTTTTTTTTTCCGCATCCTCTGTCACACAGTGAGTGGCGTTTTTTAAATATATAGAGGATATTACACGGTGGCGAGAAGATATGAATTTTATGTTCGAGTGGCAAGAACAATATCTCACGAGTGAGCGAAGCGAACGAGTGAGATATTGTTCTTGCCACGAGAACATAAAATTCAAATCTTCGAGCCAACGTGTAATGTTCTTTTTATTATATGGAGAAACCAATTCAACAAAAGCAAAAGGTGGGAATCGTGACGTCATTGAACGATACGACACTCACAAAGGTGACATACGGAAAATACGCCACTTGGGTCCCGGATGAAGTGGCGTATGGAATCTACGAGTGGTTTAGTTCCCGGTAAAACACTCTCCTCCATATAATAATTCTCTTTATCAGAGATGACATATCAGTTTCTCTTTGAGGCTCCACTGTCTTTTTCTGAAACGCCAGTAGTCAACCAATGTACATAGTATGTTTCAAACATTAGATGTATTTTAATGTTCATTTGGAAGCCATACAAAATGTTTGAGCAGCGCGTCATACTGATCACACAAAGCCGAGGTGATATTATTCACAAAAAATCCTTGCGTGTTTATTACGATGCTGGTATAAGTTCGCGCCAGAAAAGTGGGAAAATTGAAATACAATTAAAAATACAAAAATAAAAACCAATACATCTATGTTTATTTCGGAAAGTAAATTTTTGACATTTAATCTCTATAACTTGTTTTCCTTAGGCTTTCTAATTCCCTGCATTCTGTTCCTTCCTATTTCTGCCTTCTTTCTAGCTACTTTGTCTCTTCCCCGCGTCTGTTTCTTCAGTCTGTGCAGAAAGCGTTTCGCTCCCTCCCTCCCCCAGGTTTCGCTTTCGAGTCCCAACTTTATGGTCGAACTTGCGGGGAAACGCTCGCTACGCAAGCTACCGTTTCTTGCCTTCCTGCGTAGCTGGCGGAGTTTTTTTGCGTGTGAGAGTTTTGGCGACGAACCCGTTATTTTCAGCTGTTTGTCAAAGAAAAGGAAAGGCCCTGGATAGGAGACAGATTTAAACGAAAAAAAAAAAAGAGAGAGAGAGAGAGAGAGAGAGACATATACGAAAAGCTAAGTTTTAGTATAGATAGCTGCTACCTTTGGTTCCATGTTAACTCTGCATTCATGAGCACTACCCTCTGATTTGTAAACAGCAGATAAGCATTCAAACTTTCAGCGGCAAAAGGAGTCAGAGTTTTTTTTATACAGTAAAACCCCGTTAATACGGTCACCAACGGGCCAAAAAATTTGGCCGTATTAACTGGGTGGCCGTATTAACGAGGTTTTTTTTTTTACAAGAAAATGTATGGCGGTTTTCGTCAGGCGCCAAAAAAAGTGAACGTAAGGCGGGGTTTCACTGTGACTTTTAAAAATCTTGATCTTTACTTGCGGTAGAAGCCATCGTCTTTTTTACAATTTTGTCAGTTCAGTAAGGTTATATTTATAAGAATTCATGCAAAACTGTTCTGCTATCATGATCTGATTGCTTTTTCATAGGCCGGGTTTTATGCCGTTCTACCAGTTCATCTTGGGAGCACAAGATCCGCGCAGATCTGCTAGAAAACTACGACAAAAAAGTTCGCCCGGCTATTAGAGGAAAAAAGGCTGTTGAAGTGTCCTTTGCGCTGAGAGTTGGCAGACTTGTCAAAGTGGTAACTATGAACATTTCTTGATTTAACAAATCGACAACAGTTTTCCATGGTCTATATATTTTTTTTAACGACCATACCAAAAATGATGTTAAAATGCTCAAAACTCATTACAAGTGGAACCAGGAGCCCCGGGCGAGTTGTTTCAGTTTCTGTTCTGATGGTCTGTACTCTTATCGGCTATAACCGTCGACCAACCAGCGCGTGAGAAATCGCTTAGCTGTTGTAAAAACCGTTTTGATTCCTTTCTTAATGATGGTAGCTTTCTATTTTGCTTGTGTGATCGAATCTAACTTCACCTCTGTGAAGAATGTGAATCAGAAGTAGTCACGGTGTCGCTCCATAAGGATTGGGGCCCCAGTCATTTGAGTTTGCCGATTGGGCACAAGGGCAAGCAAAGCATTTTGATATTTTACTAACTTTTTTTTGTGTGTGTAATAGGACAATAAAGAGCAACTTGTAGTACTGGACACGTGGGTTATACAGGTGAAAATAGGATAATCACATTTCTCCTAGTTTTCATTAAAGCATTCGCATAAATATCCACACCCTACATTCAGCTTAGTAGCCCGTTAGGTTAAAATTATGTATGATTTCTAGTATGTACTTAGTTACTTGACAACACGTTTGTTAGGCTGTTCTTCTTAGGAAGAGGGTGAATTTAAGCTTTCCCTTGAATGTAAAACTTTCTAAGTCCTCTGTAACCACTGCCTTTAACTTGAGTTTAAATTTCTAATTGATGATTGAACATAATTGAGGAAATTTAGCTTGGTTTAGTTTTTAATGTTGCGTTGATAATTTTCCCAGCATTTTTAATGCTCATTATATTTAGTTTAACCTTTTTTCTTTTGCAAAATTTACGCTTGTCCCCAATCTTCTTTTTCTGAATAACAACTAACCTCTTTTTTGTAATTTTTAACTTGGTGACCTCATCAAGATTCGAAACGAAGACCCGTCTTTTCGTTTTTTTAAATAAAAAAATGAGAGTAAAGCTTCTTTTCGAAGACTTTTCTAAACTTATTCCTTGTTTGCTTGCAGCATTGGCGAAACCCATTTCTAACTTGGAATTCCAGCGATTATGGTGGTCTAGACCGTATTTTTTTCTCTCCTGGTGAAATTTGGGTACCCGACATTGCTCTTTATAACAAGTAAGGAATCTTGAAAGCTCCTCAAAAAAATTAAATCTTAGAATTCGTTTGATTTAGCACTTAAACCCTTTTCATTTCTTTGAAGGATCAGAAAGACTTAATCAAAAGTAGTTAAGTCTTCATTTATTTATGTGATAATCTCTTATAACGAGAGAGAATAACAATAATTCTGATTCTCAGCTCTTACCAACCTCGTTCCCAGGGTTCTCTCCTACCCGTCGGTAGGAGAGAGAGAACTCTGGGAACGAGTTTGCTCTCTTGCTTGATAACTAATTCGTAGTCTGTCGAAAAGTTCAGTGAATCACTGAAATATGCTTCAAAATTAGATGTGAAAAATTGACGACAATATTAAAACAGTTGTACTAAATATCTAACCAAATCTTACTGGAATCATAGTCAGACCTTGAACACTTTAGGTTGCAATTTTATGAAACTAAAGCTTGTAGAGTTAACTCTCGCCTTACGGACACTATAATCCGGACAGCAGCAAGAGAGGATATCCTCTCTAGAGAGCAGCTAAACCCCACGCAAAAATAAATTGCAAATGTTTGACTGAAGATAAACTTCCACTATAGACCTTTTCACGGTTTTCTCAATTTTCACATGGACAAGTTCGGGAAAATACGTCAACACGACTGAAAAGAGCGCCTTAAGATGAGTAAAACTGCCAAGTTTGAAAGTGATTTGTTGAAAATGGTGGGGCACAAACTTACCCCACCGTACGGCCTGGTCCTTAGGCGTTCTCGGCTTGGTGAATCCTAGACTCTACTGTGAGCTGTGACGTCACCGAGCAACGGGGCAAGGGAGAACGAATAGAGACTAGGCTGCCCACCATACAAACGTCTGTAAATTTTTACAACTTTGTGCAGCCATATTGTCGCTCGCTTAAGAGCAATCACTTTTAAATTTGGCGTATCCACTAATATTAAGGCGCTCCTTCCTGTGTTGTCGACGGATTTTCCATAACATGTCCATGTCAAAAGTTAAAAAAAAAACCGTGAAAATGTCTATTACGGGCTCTAGCTTTTGAGGATACTAACTCAAGGTCTCTGCGGTGTCCGCGACAAAGGAGTTGACTATACTCAGATTAGTAACTAAGATTCACTGCATTGTTTCTTCCTCTACAGCGGTGATGACAATATCAATCTTGCTGGAGGTCCAAGCAAGTTTGTCACAGATGTTGTAGTTGATGACAGAGGAATGTGCCGTTGGGGAGGACCAGCTACGTTCAAGGTCAACTGTAAAATGAAGATCGACCAATGGCCATTTGACGAGCAGCAATGCATACTCGCATTTGGCTCCTACACTTTCGGAAAAAACCTATTAAAACTCAAACTATTCAAGGACAAAAGCCAACTTACAAGTAAGTCACAGGGTGTATTGACTGCACTTTTCGCTGAAACGTTGTCGTATCATCTTTAATTAGTGTTAGGAACCGTTGCTGCTTTCAAGTTGTTAGTCCAATCCCGTCCTTAGGGCGAGGGGCGCCCCAGCTCCCATTTTCTAATTTTAATATCCGTTGGGGTCTCAGCACAGTAGTCACTGAGCTCCACTGGCAAATTATACTTGAAGACGTTAACTATAAACTGAGAAGCGCACAATTTTGTAGGTATATGTTGGCTCGGACTACACAAGTAGATTAAAGCTTGGATCTAGCTAATTCCCTTTTCAATGTGATTCTCAAGCACATTTCTAAAATTCAACGTTTAAGTCATCTAAGAGAAATAGGGAATGGTAAAGTAAACTAAACTGGGAAAACTAGGAAAAAACATCAAATTATCGATTGATCGATCACGCCCTCCATTGTGCATGTTTGAAAATTGCAGCGGAGTGTGTTCTTGCCCCTTCCCATGAGACCCCACGCGCCTCAACCTACTCATGGCCCCAATCTTGTGTCACCTCAAAAACACATAAATAGCGCCTGGGTACAAACCTGCTTCAACCTTTTTTTGCAGATCGTTTTGTGGAAAGCGGAAACTGGCGCATAGAAGAGATCACGTCCAGACTCTCCGAAACTGACCATGGAAACTGTTGCAGGTTTAACTTCAGCGAGGTTGAATATACCATAAAAATGAAACGCAAATCGCTCTACTACACGTTCTACGTTACCATCCCGTGCGTCATTCTCACGATTCTTGCCTTTAGTAGCTTCCTGATTCATGTTGAAAGCGGGGAACGCATTGGATTCGTCACCACTGTTCTTCTCGCCATGACAGTTTTCTTACTCATCATTCCATCGTGGTTGCCAGTCACTTCAGACGGTCTTCCCATCCTCGGAGTGCTTCTTGAAGCCACCATGATTATAATAACTCTGGTGTTATTCGCCAATATCGGGGTGCTGAGAGTGTACTTCAAAGAGGGAACGCCTCCAGACTGGGTTGAACGCATCTGTTGTCTTTGCATCGGACGAAGACGTCAAAATATTCAGCAGATTCACGCGCAAGGTGCTGAGGGTCCTTTGTCAAAGGCTGAGAAATCCATTGCTTCTATGGTAACCATTGAGATGACTGGGTCCAATATCGACACCACTTCAACAACTGAACATTGTGACAAGAAAGGAGACGACCATCTCACCTGGCAAAGAGTGTCTACAATAATGGATCGTGCGTTTTTCGTAATATTCGTTCTGATTTCTTTGACATCTTACGCCGTTTATACAGCAGATGCTCTTTAAGATGTTGCGAGGCAAAGAGGGGAAGGTGGAGTGGAGAAGATGTTCATTCGTCCCCCTCATTTTGCATGCTGTGGCTACTACATCTACCTAATCTCTTAATAAAAGCTTTCAACCACAAAAAATCATTATTTAGGATACGACAGAACCATGAACGGTACGTATATACGTTGGGACTCCAAACTTCTAAGCTGGAGGGTTAAGGCACTCACTAAGTATATAGACTACTTATTGTACCTTTTCTTTTCAAATTAAATAAATGCATTTGTCTGGAGGCAGTATATATTTTACCAGCTTGTGATAACGAAAATGAATCTTCAAATCCACACGTAACGGTTTTTAGTACCTGTTAAAAATTTCGCAGGCACAAACAAGGGTCAAACAAGCATACTGATCATTGAATGAGAAAACAACGATTAAACCCCTGTTCGCAGATCGATTATTTACCTCTTGTCTTCTGCATTGCCAACGCACAGAACTGCTCTGATGGCCACTGTGAAACCGAGAGATTTTGCTCACTCTGGTCCAATATAATTGTTTAAAAGCGGGAAATATCACAATGAGCAGTACCGGATCTCTTGTCGAACACTGGCCGGGTATTAAGTGAGCTGGTTGAAGCACTTGCACACCGGTGTACAATCTCGTGCACAGTTGAAAAGCAAATATAAACTCCATATGGTTGCACATGATCGCCTGCCGAAGAAGATGGAGATGTCAGTGCATGTTCATTATTTGTTGAATTGAAAAAAATGTGTTATCTAATTCAGCAGGCATTTGTTTGTTTGTCATTTTATAAAACAATTGTTTGCCTTTTTTTCTTGGCTTTAAAGGCGAAAATTAAAATGAAAAAAAGCTAGACCCACGTGCATCAATCAGACCAGAAATTTTGCTTCGTAATCCTGATAGGTGCAAACAAAGTCACCCTCTGTTGTTTTCTCCCAGAAAAAGAAAGGAAAAATGAAAAAAGTGCACGTCACACAGCTTTTTTCATTAAGGCATTATTCTCTTCATCATATTAAGATCTATTAAAAGTAACAAAAAAATAAATCCTCCTGTGATTTGTTTTATCTGCGTTTGTGTACAGCAGTTTTGATGCTTGGAAGTAGTCGGACTTACCGAGGAATTATGTGCAAAAACATTCAATAAAATTAGTTTGAAAGATAAAGTATTAGACTTTTGACTTGAGTTTTTATTGCGCTCATTTCTGTCTGTTCACTAACATCTTAGAGAAAGCGATCTTGCGTGAGGTTATACGACAGTTATGAACGCATGACTCGACACTCTATTGCTACTACATCCAGCTAACATAATTTTAAGTGCTGGGCGTGAAAAAAACGTCATTAAATATCAAGGATCGGGTATTTAAAAGAACCAGTTGTGTTATATTGACTCTAGTCACGTCAAACATTGTGGTTAGCCAAACTAAAAATGTGACATAATGCACATTGATATGATCAGCCAATATAATTAATAAGCTCGAATTCTAGATCATTTTTGAAAATTATACGTGTCCTCCACCCGACCCCAGTTAGCCACCTTTCCGCTTGCCTACTTAGGGCTTACTTCGGTTGCCTAGCAACTCAGAATAGTTTAACACCACGGAAAATACAGAACAGTGTATTTATGAGATTATTTCACGCAAAGTTATTTCAACGGACAATCTTGTCAAACTCCCAAACTTTTTGTCACAACTCCTTACCTTTTATCTGCTTTATATAATATATATATATATACAGAACTGTTGTACATTTGTAATTTCCCACGAAATGTAACAATCAATATAGGTCCGAGATTTGCCCTTGACGTCACCGAGCGGTAATAAATGTGCGCAAAAGCGTGACTCGAATGGTAAGTAGGTTACAGATATTTGATAGAGCATAAAGATTTGAATAACGCGCATATTTTAGTCTTAAGATTCACACTCTTGTAGCGTGAGAGATCGGATGCTCGAACAAACATCGCTTCAATTCTTCTACTGTTTAAACGCAGATTAGAGCCATAGTTGAGAGAAAAAAGGACTGTTACAAGTTCCGCAATGAACCAGATTACAATCTCTCTAACGCTTCTCCAGATTTTCTCTCTATTTGACGGTAGGTAGAATTACATAGACTCATTTGTGACTTATATCTATGCTAATACTGTGATATATGTTTAAGTCAATTGGGTGACTAATTTGGCAATTGAAAATGGCATTTAGCCTAAAAAAAAAAGAAGTAATTTATCCCTGTCTGCTAGCTATTTTTCTTGTACAAAGTCGCAGACGTCGACGATGCGATTTTAAAAACCAGATACTTGAGCAAATAATCACAACTCTTGTGTGGCTCTCGTTGAGTAACCCTGTTTGTTTACGGAAACTTGCACTGCGTAGTTTTATCTTGCTAACTGTAAAAAAACATATTTATAAACTTGATTTTTTTAAAAATTGAATTTGGGGGTTAATTCATTTATCGCTCCCAGCTTCTCATCAAAAATGACGAATGAACAAATCCTCATCACCGTTGAGTGGTTGATATTTATCCAGTGATCAAACTCATTGCGAAATGTTTTTTTCCCGCACCCTCTGTCACACAGCAAGTGACGTTTTTAAATACTTCTCTATAACATAGAGGACATACGGCAGTCTTCTCTTTGAGGTTTTCCTTTCTGAAAGGCCAGTAGAATATAGTCAAATAATGTACATAGTATGTTTTGAGCCTTAGAAGCGTTTACATGTTCATTTGGCAGCCGTACAAAATATTTAACTATCGCGTCATACTGATCACACAACGCTGAGGTGATATTATTCCCCCCAAAAACCTCGCGTGTTTACGACGCTGGCAGAAGTTCGCGCCAAATAATGTGGGGTAATTTGACGCGTTTAAAATACAAACCAATACATTAATATTTATTTCGGAGAGTAACTTATTGACATTTAGTCTTCTTTATCCCTTTCAAATTCTCTGCGTTCTGTTCCTTCCTATTTCTGCCTTCTTTCTATTGAAGCTACTTTGTCTCTTCCCAGAGTCTGTTTCTCTAGCCTGTTTAGCAAGCTCTTCCTCCCCACCCTCCCCCTTTTTCCTCTCGGGTACCAACCTTCTGGTCGAACTTGCATGGAAACGCTTGCTACGTAGGCTACCTTTCCTCCTCTTCCTGCATAGCTGGCGGAGTTTTTGTGACGAAGCCGTTATTTTCGCAAAGCGTCTCTTCACCATTCTCCAGACGTCAATCGAAGCTCCTCTTTTATTCCAAAACGTTCCTCGCGCGAACGATCCCACCATCTACGCAGGCTACTCTTGCTGGATCCCTCTCTCTCTTCCTCTCCAACTCATCCCTCATTCCTCCGGCCTCTTTTTGCCCTCTCCTTTTCTTTCGCTTCGCTTTCGCCTCCCAAGTATTACTTTTTCTACGCATTCAACTCACTCCAACTCGAATTCCGAACAAATCCCCTTTGGGATGTCCAGTCTGATGATACAGTTGTTTCTTGTTTCTTTTAATTTTTCCCACAGTAGCATTAAAAAGACTTCTTTTCTTGTTAGGATCTCTGTGTTCAACAAATTCTTCATGGGAACACCACATTCGAGCAGACCTACTGAATAACTATGACAGAAAAGTTCGCCCAGTCCGCGAGGGGAGGAGGGAAGTGACAGTGCAATTTTCTTTACGAGTGGGTAGACTCGTCAAAGTGGTACGTCAAATAATCTTTGGTACACCTTTTTAACTTGTAAATACAACCTTTTTGATAATTTGTAATTACTGCGTTTACTTCAGAATTAAAAAGTTGTTTGATTGGTCAAAGCGAGGTGCGTGAAGCGAGGCGGGATCTGGTACAATAAGAAGCTGACGGGAGGGTCAAGGGACAATAGGCAACAAAAACAACAACTTTATTGACTTGATCTTCGACATGAAGATTTCAGCACCAAAACAATCAATATAATCACAAATGAAACAAAGTAAAATAAAAGTTAAGTAAGAAGGAACAACAACTTCCCGCAGGGTAGGCCTTTTCTCAAAAGCGGGCCCGCTGATAAACGAACCAGGATAGCAGCTATTATTATTTACATTCAAGACAGGGGTTTCAGCAGTTAAGCAGAGAACGTGACAAAACTATCAGTTACCAAAACAAAATGGGCAAGTTTAGCTAGGACGCGCACTTTCATTTCCGTCCTGAAGAGGTATTGGGACTTTCCGTCGAGAAACGGGCCCCAAGGACGAGTCTGTGCATATGCAAGTTTCGGATAACTTGCCATAACAACCAATGCTTTACGGTAAAGTCGACTGAGAGCAAACATCTTATACTTGAAGAACCACAAGACCTTCTTTTTTTTAATACATTTCTCTTTATATTCCTTTTCTCTAACAGGATAATCAAGAGCAATTAATAGTTGTAGATACTTGGGTTACACAGGTGAGATATTGCAAACTTAATTAGTTCTTTCAGTACCCTGGGTGTCGGAGACTTTCCTAGCGCGGTTTCCGGTTTCTGTCAAGTCATTATAGTGACCCGCGCTTCGCCGCTCGTGGCTTTGGCCTTCGACCAACACCGAAAATTCCCGCCGGGAGCGAGAAAAACCTCTGGTACCCAGGGTATTCTTTCAAGAGCCATACCACACGATATTCTAAGAAGGACACCGTGACAGGGGCGGCTAGCACCAGGTATCGATCTTACTGCGGGGGAAGGGAGGGAGGCGGGTGGGGGTCACACTGCTCATGTCACATTCGCTGTAATTACGGGATTGTCATGTCGATAGACTATCCATGCTGTGATTTTGTAAAAGACATTGCTTGGGATAAGCAATTGGCTTGGGGGAAGGCTTAGGGAGGCGCGCCTGCAAAGTACAGGAAGCTGCATAGTTAAGATGAGTCTAGCCTGATTGCGTTACGAACTCGTAAGAACGTCTGCGTGGGAGGCTAACACGAGTCCTGCAGCGAAAAAGAAGAAATATGTTGTCTACATGAACCGAATTCTGGCCCATAGAAGAACCACCGACAAAACAAAGCGAGCTTTTAAATGATTGTTTCTGCGAACACCCTGGATATAACAATAATTGTAAAGTTTTTAGACTTGAAAAAATGGGTGGGAGAGGGAGCGAACACTGGCACCCCAGGACGCCTTCAGCTATGCTCCTTCCTAGCTACGCGCGCCCCTGAACATGACTTGAAAAACAGCAGGGACCAATCCGCCATATGATACAGTTTTACGTAATTTATTTCTCAGGCGTGGGACAACGAATTTCTCTCGTGGAACATAAACGACTACGGTGGCTTAGATCGCATCCATTTCGCCCCTAACGAAATTTGGGTTCCGGATATAGCTCTATTTAACAAGTGAGTGTTGGTAGCCTTTGTTTTAAAAATTGTTATCAGTTTTAACTGGTAGTTTTTGGTTTAACGATTTTCGTTTTATGTATTTCCAGTGGTGATGATGAAATCAACTTGGCGGGGGGTCCATCGAAGTTTGTCACCGACGTCGCGGTGAATAACGAAGGCAGATGCCTTTGGAGCGGACCAGCCACATTCAAAGTCAACTGCCAAATGAATGTTGACAAATGGCCTTTTGATGAGCAGTCCTGCGAAATGGCGTTTGGTTCATACTCAAATTCAGCCCATACGAGTATGAACCAAACGCCATTTCGCAGGACTGCTCATCAAATGGCCTTTTGATGAGCAGTCCTGCGAAATGGCGTTTGGTTCATACTCGTATGGGCTGAATTTGTTAAGAATCAAGTTGTTCAAGGACACCAGAAAAAAAATTGTAAAAAAGGTCTTTTGATGGAGAGTCCCGCGAAAGGGGGTTTGGGTTAAACCCGGTAGGGTGTAATTTGTTAAAAAACAAGTTTGTCAAGGACCCCCCGGCGTTTAAAAGAAAAGGGGCATACCCCCCCCCCCCCGGGAGCGATATAACTTCGTTAGGAGTTTAAATGGCAGATTTTGGTATCACTTAGGTTGCTCAGGATAATTTTAGGTCTAAGGGACGAAATTATCCCTTTTGGCTGTGCAGCACCACATAGTAAGCATCAGACGGTCAAAAGAGAAAGTAAACTGTAGTCTCCCTCACAGCCGTTTTTGTCACGTCACCCAACTCTCCTCGGAGAAGCGTTACGTGACGAGACAAAAACGGCTGTGCGGGAGACTAAGGTAACTGTGGCACCTGACTCGTCCCCAGTCGTCTCTAAGTTCTCTCTACTCATTAATTATTTACTAGGGAAGTGCTTGGGTTATGCGCGCGTCATCCCCTTTGTTAAAGAGCGCGTTCTAGTCTTCCACGCCGAATACTAATAATGGGAGACGACTGGGGACGAGTCAGACTGGGGCACCGTTCACACGGCGCCGAACAAATTTTCGACCGGTTTAAAATTCGTCCGTTTAGGTGTTCTGTTCACACGAAACCACCTTAACTGACGAAAATTTAGCCGTGTAGCCGGGTCAAAATTGTGTATAAACAGAGGACTGATTTTGAACGATTCCTTATGAATGAAGTGGTCGGTGAAATCTTTCAGCTGCGATCGAAGATTTCGCCCGGTGCCTTGAGAAAGTAGCTTGAACCACACCTCGATTGGTATCCCTTAGGATAAAGAGAGAACAATAGGATTTTCCCCTCTAGCCTTAAACGGGGAATATGGAACGGAAACGTGCTCGGGGTAGTAGCTCTGGGAAGAGGCTGGGAACAGTGAAATGAAAAAAAAAAAAGAGCGAAACAGGTAATGAATAACTGGCTCACTCATAGGGCTAAGAAAGGATTAAGGAGGCTTTTGTTGCCACTTTTTATTTTTCCTCTTTCCTCGTTGCCCACTCCCCATCTTAATAATTGCCATTAACAATTCCAATTTCCTAAAGTGTATCCCTACCTTTTCACAAAGGAGTTCTCCTCTTCCCAGCTCCTCAATGCCCGAGTGGCTATTAATCGAACTCCCCCAGATGTACATGTCCGGCTGGAACCTTGCCACCAATTTGTGTCGTTAGACAAGAAGACACTGATTTGCTCCAATTTTCTATCTTATGACTAAGCTGTGCCATTGTTTCTTCATTTCAGACCGTTTTGTAGAAAGCGGAAATTGGCAGATAGTAAACATTTCATCTAGAATCACCGAAACCGACCACGGAGACTGCTGCAGGTTTAACTTCAGCGAAGCTGAGTTCAAAATTTCAATGAAACGCAAATCGCTTTATTACACGTTCTATATCACCATCCCTTGCGTTATTCTGACTGTTATTGCCCTGACTAGCTTTCTGATCCATGTTGAAAGCGGAGAACGCATTGGATTCGTCACCACTGTTCTTCTCGCCATGACAGTCTTCTTACTCATCATCCCTTCATGGTTGCCAGTCACTTCAGAAGCACTTCCGATCCTTGGAGTACTCCTTGAAGGCACCATGATTATAATCACCCTAATCCTGTTTGCCAATATCTTCGTCCAATGGATCTACTTCAGAGAAGGAACGCCTCCAGACTGGGTACAGACGATTTCCCGCTTCTGCGGTAGAAGAAAACGCAGAGGAAAGCAGCAGACTCGTGTTGGTAGCGCAGTGGCCCCATCGCATTATGCTTTGAAATCAACTGCTTCCGTTGCGGGCATCGACATGACCGAGTCAAGCAGAAATTCACCGGTGGAACAGGACAACCAGAAGATGGATGAGTATTTTTACACGTGGCAAAGGGTGTCCACAAAAATGGACCGCTTTTTTTTCATATTATTCATCATTATTTCAGTTATCGTATATGGTGTGTACATAGGAATTTCTTTATAGTTCTCGAAGTAGTGCCTCGGTTTCAAGTGCGCTATCACCTGCGCGTCTTTGCAAAATCGCATTTAATTGAGTTTTCGATAAACTAACAAAGATAGAGTGGAGTAAATTCTTGTTTAGAAAGCGAATTAATTCCCTTCGATACAAACCTGACACGTGTTTTGTACTGTATTTATTAGTTACATAAAGCATTGTATAAACTGTAGATGTAACATGAAATTTGGAGGTAGTTATATTTGTGTTTTGCGAAAACAAGAGTAGTTTTTTTTGTTGGAGATAACTTCGATTTCTGCTAGGAACAGATTTTTGCGATATTGCCTTTAAACGGCGGAAGTTTACACAGCAGGAAAAAATTCATGTAAAAAAACGCAAAGATTGACGTGGACGGTATTCTTTATTTGAAACCACGTGACAAGGCAGCCATGTTAAAGGTCCAAACAACGTCTTGCTTCAAAAAATTTACAAACAAACAAACAGTTTAGTTCCCTGAGGACGTATCGCTGTCATTCTTATTAGCAAACATGGCAGCCGCGATGTCAGCTAAAAACCAAAAAAATTCCGAATTGCAAACACCCTCTCTTGCAAAGGGAGGCTTCGTGCAACACCCTTCTCGTAAAATGACTTTTTTGTACTTAGCCTCGCTTTGAAACAGAGGCTTGGGACATCTAGGAAACGGCCAATTCATTCGTAAGCACGTGGTTTGTACCGTTCACTTTTGTTTGCTGATGTAAACCGTTAATCTTAACGTGGGCTGCTGCTTTTTTTATTATTTAAAACCAATTTCAATGGTTCTTGTTCATGTCCGACATACATCTCCCCGAGTAACGCAAGTTCCCATCAAAAAGCAGCGTTCTTAATTGGACTGACGGAAGTATAGTTTCTGCAGGCCGGCGTTCTTCTGTGGAAATTTATTTCTCTCGCGGATAGACTGCAATAAGTACAATCGGCACAAAATTCAAATAATTAACATTTTCATGCCATACGGTAGGCTATTTTATGGGTTTTGAGTGAAAAGGTTTGTAAAAGATCTGATCTCCGGAACGAACCTCAATTGATTAAACGTCACAGTTTTATGGCAAGTGACCTGACATCGCGGCTTCCATATAAAAATGATGAGTTAATGATGAAAGGCTATGTATTCTCTGTAACTGTAAAACTACCGAAGATGAAAGTCACTTTTTACTAGATTGTCCAAGCTAATGTTTGATATGTTCTAAACTAAAACAGAATCTAATATCCAGTTTACACGACTGTTATCAAAAGAAACTTTATTATGGCATCCGCGAAGAAAATCAAATGACTATTTTATAAACATTCACTTAATTTCGTTCATTCAGTTCATCATGCATCGAATTGAGAGGTAAACTTCTCTTCGCAATAATCACTGTCCACTGTATGAATAAGGTGAATAAAAGAAAGCAATCTGATGATTTACTAGTATTCTTATTTTATTTAATTAAAGAATTAAGAATAAGTTATAAATAGCTTTTGTAATTTTTTGTTATAGTCTTGCGAATAAAGCTTGTTGTCGTTGTTGTATATATTATATATCAGCAAACTGTGTCTAACGCGGACAATGCTTAACCGGGCAGTTTTGTATGCCTTGTAGAGGGAAATCAACTGATTAGAAAGACCTTCTAGTTGTTCCTGTAAGGGGTGGGTCAGTCTTTTGAGGTGTCGGTTGAAAGACAGCTGACAGTCTGTATGTGTTATATATCTTTTAAAGTACTCGAAAGGATAAGCTGAAGTTTTTGGTCAGTGACTTGTTCTTGCCAATTGTATTAAACAAACTTTCTGCCCCAATAAAGGCGAAACAGCTGTCCATGGCTGCCACTGCCAGGGTGATATGGTTTTGCGCATGCGTAAGGTACAGGCCAGGCCGTGGGTTACATTAACGTAATTTGTAACAGACGATGCCGGCTTTTTTAATCAAGTACGTTTCAAGTAATGGAGTGAATATATCATAAAGCGCTGTATTCTGCATTTCTCGCCTCTATGTCACGATATACTTACCGTACTTTGAGTGTACTTTACGTCTTAATAGCATAGTTTGTTGGGTTGATAACGTAGGTAAGGTGAGGCCTGTGTGCAAGCCAAGTCTCCCATTAGGTCGGAGCGTACTCCTCTTTCCGTAGCGTGAAGCTACAAATAGCGCTGTGAGTCACTCCGTTCCGCCTCGATAGGATCCTAGTCCATCGCAGGGCTATCTATCTACTCTTAGCAGTATGTCTAAGGAAACAACTCATGAGCAAGAGCAAGGCTTAAACCCAGACCTCAAGATCTGAAGGTCGGGGTGTTTACCGCTCGGTCAAAACTCCTCCACATTGATGAGTTTGATTCTTCCAATTTTTCCTGTTGCTGGCTTGTGCGTAGGCTCAATTACCAGCAGTTCAGAAAATGTCCTCGCACTATAGGAACGACCGAACTCGACGGAGCGGTGGAATAGGAGCTGTCAACGTATCCAGGAAAAGAAACACGGAGAGTAATGTCGGGGAGACAATTTGGGGCCCCTATTTTGACGAGTCCATTCCTTTTCAGGTTAAATGTATCAACTTCATTTTTTTTTTCATTTTCTTCTCCTCGGAAGCACCTGTTCCTTTTGGTGCTGGAGACCTGAGGAAGATTACGAGACCATTACTACCAGGCTTCCGCTGCTGAAGAGTCCAGATGTGATACAGACATTATCGTATACAACGAGAATATAAATAATTCAGCAACAACAAGTGCTTAAAACACCCCACAAATAATTTTATTGGCCAGCATGCTCACAAAATGCAAAAATTGACATTATAATAATCGTGTACTTCAGGAAAGAGCCTATCGGTTCGTTACGTTTTGGGAAGGCATGTGTGACACAACAACTTGGAAAGCCCAAACTACATTTGTAACTCTCGAGTTAGTTCGGCCAAACATGTGCACGCTTTACAAACATTTTCGAAATGTACTCAGATTTAAAGCTTTCTTAGAAAATATCGGCCGTTTTATGAGCTGAACGAAACAAAAACTTGAAACTTGGCTGACCAATTTTTAGGTGGGGCTACATTACCTAGCCTGTTCCAGGCGTTCAGACCGCTCTCCACTATCTGAACGCTTGGGACAGGCTATACATTACCCTATTTGATTTGCAAGCAGTATTCGCTGAGATTTAATTACTGACACTCAGAAAAAGAACTGAGACATTTTAGAATAACAAAACTCATAGTTTCGCTGTCTCATTCCCAGTATTTCATTTAAACAAATGATGTTGCGATGCGTTGCCATAGCTTCCCCTTTAAAGTCCGTCTTTTCGGAACAGCATTCAAAGGCATCACGTGACCAACACGTGAAACAACATGCGAAGAGGCTAAGCTGTGTAGATTACAACATGGGTGATTACAACAATCACCACGAAAAGAACGAAAAACACTTGGTCAAGCTTGATTGACACCTGTTGCCATGTTAGATCATCCTCTGTTTTCTCCCAAACCGTCGGCGTGTTGCTTTTTCCGCCAGACCTCTCGTCCAATTCAACTGCGTTCGCAGATGCGCTTGATTTAGCTCTCAAACTTACTTTAGATACATGAATCCGCTGGACGGTTTTCCCCTTCTTAAGACAGCACAATCTGCAGAGGTTCTGTACCCATTTTGGCGGAGTTCCCTCGGTAAAGAACAACTTTAGAACGAAAATATTACAAAACAGCACCAAGGCTATTATTATCATGGTGGCCTGAAGCCCAATTCCAAGGACTGGAACACCATCTGAACTCTCCGGAAGAAAAGACGGAATAAGGAGCAAAAACACAGTCATAGCCAATAGGATGGTGGTGACAAAGCCAATCCTTTCACCACTCTCCACGGGAATAAGGAAGCTTGTTAGGCCGAGGACCATCAGCATCAAACTGGGTATCGTGAGGTAGAAGACGTGGTACAATGGCTTTCTTGTCATTTTAAGTTTGTAGACTACCTCGCTGAATTTAAATGGACAACAGTCCCCATGATCGGTAGTTTTGATTGAGGTGGTGATCTCGTCTATAGCCCAGTCACCGCTTGTAACAAATCGATCTACAAATCAAACAGTAAACGGATTATGTTCTATAGAAACTATATAATTATGGATTCGATGTGTCAGATATAGAGTAAAAAAAATTTGACTGACCACCGCGAGTAACGAGATGTAATTTTGAAAGTTCGTTGTTTTTTTTAGCATTAGTCCTTCGTCGAGACGATTTCCTTCGACTTGATTTTCTTTGACGAGGACCTCAGCATCTCACTGAATGCTTTTTTTGTGGTGGATAATTTCCGGCTGTACCCGAGGCCGGAGGTTGGGCCTTTGTCAGGGGCGAATCCAGGAATTTTTGATTCAGGGGATCCAAACATTGGTTCAGAAAGGACCGTTGAACTTTTTTTTATGGCAAATTACTTCTCACAGAGACGACCTAGTGTTTCTTAATCTGTGAACGCCGCTCGCCGTTGGCGCGGGAAATACTGCTTTGCGAGAAGAGACGAACAGATCAGGGGAAAAATAGTTTTGAATGAAGATCCCTGGAATTTAGTTTAGTGGCAGCAACGCGCGTTTCATTAAAAAAATCAGCCAGTTAAAAAGTGATATACGAATCCTGTCGATGTAAGAATTACATTCTCAAACAAGCGTCAGGTCTGATGGGGGGGGGGGGGGGGGGGGTGGGGGGAAGCCAACCCCCGCCCCGCCCCTCCCCCCTCCCCTCCTGGCCCCTTGTTTTGTCATTTAAAAAAAATTTATGTAAAGAACAGGCGCTTTCGTGTGCCTGCGCAGGGAGTCTATTTCTTCGCGTGCTGTGTCGGTGAGATTACGGATTGGTGTAGTTATTATGCGTGCTATAGATGGTGTTTGAGTCACAGACAAGGAGATACAATAAAAAAAAAAACAAAGCAAAAAAAAGAAAATAACAACAACGTGTGGAGGTAAGAATAGTATGGGCCAGGGGGGGGGGGGGGGGGGGGGGGGGGGGGGGGAAGGGGGTCCGGAATCCCCCGGACCGGACCTCTCCCCTGGATTCGCCACTGCTTGTTGTCGATTAAATCAAAACTCTGTACAGTAATGCGAGATTCGTAGCCAGCCTCGGAGACGTAATCTAACCCGTTGTGGCGTAGGCTATGAGATTGGAAGCTGGTTTTAACAAGTGGACACTCTGTAACCTGCGCACTGGCATGAAACAAATGACTTACTAGTAAATTGGCCTTTTGAGTCTTGAAACAGTTTACTATTCATCTGACCAATGCCATACGTGAATGAACCAAAACCTAGCTCACAAGTCTGTGTATCAAAAGGCCATTTGTTGATCGCCATTTCACAGCTGGCCTTAAATGTTGCTGGTCCACTCCACACGCAGTGTCCAGTGTTCGCCACAGAAATTTCGGTGACAAACTTTGTCCTTCCTCCAGCTAATGTAACACTGTCATCACCACTAATAAGACACAAACAGAAATGTTCACCATTTATATTATAACACTGCAAATGGGGAGAAGTCGTCACTTTATCTGGACGAAGTGCGTTCTCATTTCTGTACACTCGCTCTAAAGAGCAATTAGAATGCTGTGATCAAACTAAAACTTCAAAGGCCCTTGATTTTGATACTGAAGAGCAACGCCACTGTTTACATTAACGTTTTTAATACAAGCTGTTCGGATTCCTTAAAAATTCAAACTTTTTAGTTATATCTCCTAACTATCATACGTCGTTGGTTTCAAACCTGGTCATTTTGCTAATCTGAAACGCTTTCTCCAATTACAGTTCCTTTCAGATCCAAGAAGAGTGAGTGAATTTAACGTAGTAGGCTCGGGGCGCTGTTAGGGAAGTGAGCCCGCGTTCATCCCCCGAACAGACGGCTGGACACGTGGGTTTGCTATTATTGTTTTCCACCAATCAGATCGTTGTCTCTTCTCGGGAAGACCGAGAGAGCGGCGGAAATTGAGCCTAATGACGTAGTCCCATATGTGAATGGCCATTAACCACGGCAACGTACGATCCCTTTGTTTTATTTTTTAAATCCAAGTTCAGCTAAAATCCCTCTCATATAATAATACACTTTTTTTTTATATGTTAAGTTCCATTCCTAAATTTCCTTACTTGTTGAAGAGTGAAATATCTGGTACCCAGATCTCATCAGGGAGAAACTGCACACGGTTAAAACCTCCAAAATTATTCACGTCCCACTGAAGAAATGTATTTGTCCAGGTCTAAGAAATTCACAATATATTTTAATAAACATTGAGTTGCGTGAAAGCGAGTCTTCCGGAAGTCAACCAGCTTGCCGGAAGCTGTTTCCACATGGTTCTAAAAATAACTTTTTGAAATGAAGATATCCCATAGGCTTAACTGGGAGACTTCCTATCTGTCCTGTTATGGCTATTGTCATAATTTAGGGATTTGAGTTCAACCAAAAGACAATTTACCTCAGTTTCCCCAACGACTGACAAATGACCCTGACAAAGCAGGCGGCTGAGTTGGAGCACATGGCAGACCCCACAACTAAGTTGATTTAGTGGGAAAGAATCAACATTAGGATGCGTTATCCTTCGTCGAACGCAATAAGCTTACCTGTGTCACCCAGGTATCCAAAACAACCAGTTGTTCTTTGTTATCCTATATAAAGCAAACAAAAAAATTACGTACAATTGTTCAAGACTTTCTACTGGCAATGCTTACTATCTTAAAGGTTTTAGCATTTTCATTCATTTTGAGTAGTTGCAGCCCTGCTTCATTATGGCATATGCTATATATCAGTTCCAAGCCGTGGCGGATTTGGAGAAGAGATTTATGACGTCATTATCATACTCCTACGTTCACTACCATAACCATGAAGTCAAAGATCATCGACAACAGATATTTTCTAAAAAATAGATGTAATGATATGCGAACACATACCAAAAGTTTCTATTCAGAGATTTTTAGAAGGAAATTTATTGATGAGAATTTTTTTTGATGAGTCTTTTTAGTACCTGATGGCTAAAGCTAGTATAATTAGCTGTTTTGTTTCTTCTTTTCACCCTCCTCAATTCAAGTTGAGAGTGAGCCGTTTTTTAAAAGTATCAGCTGGAGTTCAGAATACTCTGTCATCTACTCAAAGCCCCACTAAATAAGAATGCATTCTCTTTCTTATACATGCCTTGTTTTATAAGACGTTTCGCCACATTCCACCAAGATTTTTTGAAGTTCAATGTTTACAACTGAATGACTAAATAGGAAGTTTCTTAATATCTAGGTAGTCTTTCATGTTCAATTCAAAATGCCGATTTCGTTCCCAGAGTTCTCTTGCTCCGGAGGACGAGTAAGAGAGAACCCTAGAAACGAGTTTGTTCACGGTGGCGAAACGACGAAAAATCGAAACAGACTGAAATTAATTCAAAGCAAAGGCGTCATTTCTTACTCACCACTTTTACAAGTCTGCTGATTTTCATAGAAAACGACACCTCCACAGATTTATTGCCCAAAACTGGCCGAACTGTTTTGTCATAGTCGTCCAGAAGATAGGCACGGATCTTGTGCTCATAGGACTTGTTTGATGCGCCTGAAACACCTGAAAAATCGTCGCACTTTGTAATTACACTTGTCGCACTTTGTATAAACTTCAAATGGATGGAGGGAGGACAAGTTGCCCCAATAAAAAGTATCACCATCGAAAATAATAATAATAATAATAATAATAATAATAATAATAATAATAATAATGATGATGCATAATGATTAGGGGCGACGATTATTACGAAGTGCGACAAAACATTGTTATCTTACAGTCGACTCTCTCTTAACGGACACCTCTGTAAAACGGACACTCAGAGTTGGTCCCTGCCTTTCTTTACTCCTTTTATTTGAGTCTCTACAAGACGGACACCTCTCTAAGACGGACACTTAGTGCCGGTCCCAAAGGTGTCCGTCTTAGAGAGAGTTGACTGTATTTTCGGACATATACTAAATCCAATTTGATTTCATTTGAAACTTTTTAAACCTAGGTTGATAGTAATTGATTAGGAAACGCCGCCCTGTAATTCAATGTACAGAAGACCTATTTCTAATAGAAAGTGCAAGATCATTCTATAATTGGGGGCATTCATATAAGAAGATCGCTTTCTAGCGGGCCAACAGCTGGTACCAACTCCACGAGGCGGAGTAGTATATAGAGGCCCTGCCAAGGGGGGGGGGGGGGGGGGGGGGGGGGGGGGGGGGGATCAAAGAGGCGACGAACTACATAATAAATATATAGAGTAGCCTAATCGAATAGAAAAGGATAAAAGGTGTACAACAGGGGGGTGAATCAGAAGGAGGGGTGCACTGGGGGCGGGGAGCGGCGCGGGGCCGCCGAGGGGGGGGGGGGGGTGTGGTGGGGGGGCGGGGGGGGGGGGGGGGGGGGGGGGGGGGGGGGGGGTGGTGGTCCCATGTATACTTGTCGCTTATTATCGGCTTTGCCGTCACTGTCGCAATTTGGCCGGGGGAGGTTGTCTCTTGTCACGATTTCATTTTACGCGCTGTCGCTACTTTTTCGGCCATGTGGCTTGTCGGAATTTACCCTGGCAGGGCCTCTATATAGGAAGGTGTTCATTATGGGAGCTGGGCCTTTACGAAATTTATCAAAATCCAACTGAACAGTGGGAGCTGCCACCAAAATGAGTAAAACATAGAAATAAGGGCTTACATCATTCAAAGAAGGTACAAATAACATAATATAATGCAACAGAAGGCACTGGATGACAAAAACTTGAAGAAAAAAGAATTGCAATTGCGGTGGATTTTGAAAACTTGTCAGACTACCAGTTTTTCAAAATTCATTTTTTGTTGTTTGTAACGTTTGATATAATGCATTGGGAGAGGTAAACTTTAATGTATTTTCTTGATAGGAAGCTGTGATTTTGTCATTTACAAGTAAATTCCTCACCAACGTCACTTGAGTTCCTTTAGCAAAAAACAACTCTACAAAGCCATATTAACCCAATTAACTAGACAGCCGTACTGTGACACGGCCTTTTTAATCAAACTAAGACAAGGTTCACTGGAATAATCATGCAGTGATTGCATGTTACTGAATAAATCATAACGTACGAAAAAGCCGCCTTTAAAACGTGCGCTCCACCTTATAACATAATCTATTGCGACTTGTACTGCAGCTGGCATCAAATTAATCAAGACTTCATTGACAGCATACGTGATGTATTTATCAGAATAGAATCTTATCCATAAAGTTATAGATATTAAATACTGCGTAAGAGTTGACGGCTGTCAGTTGAATTAAAAAAAAATTGTTTGTCAGAGAGCAGGATTGTACAATTTTTTGATGATCATCACGATCAGTGAGTCAGCGTTTTGTTTTGCAGCTCACATTGTTTACCAAACAACACAAGGATACCTGGTCAGTGGAGAAAAAATTAAACTTGATCATCGGTCATCCACTTTTCAATTTACAAGAAAAGATGTCACCGAGTAAATTGAGTTGTTCAATTTTTATCAACGCCTGAGAAATTAATATTTTAGGGGGAAATTTATCATTATGCTCTCTGTGAAATTCACTCTGAAGTCAGTCGATCTATGATGATAATTTGTGTGTTCTTTTAATGAAGCATTGTTAATTGACTTCATTACGTGCCTGATAGTAACAAAGTAATGATTAAAATAGAATTTGGCCTTCGCTTGTATTTTAGTTCGATTTCTTTTAAAGTCCAGCGGACAGGAGTTGTATTTTAGTGTTTCACAATTCATGGTATAAGAAAACTACCGGCGATTTTGATCGTTACGTCCAATAAGCTTTGGACCGCCGTTCTACGAGCGACCGTTACTTTTAGCAGCTTTAAAGTCTCAGGGAGTAACTAGTTATTCTCTTTGGATTTCCGAAACCGTATGGCGCTCGGATGCATCATATATATATAGAACAGTAGGGGAATATAATCAGCTTCACATTTCATTTATGGACTGGAATTGATAAACTGACAAATAAAAGGACTTCGAAAGGACGTTCCAGTGAAACTCGGCATAGTATTCAATCGTTGTACAGATACTTACTCCCTGAAAATAGTCCTTGAAGAACGAGAAATAGAACGACGGCTGGGGTCAAATGCATGTCCTGTCATACCATCAAAAATTGACTTTCGATTAGATTTTTTTACAGCTCACAAACTCAGTCCCCTTTAAACACGATGTTTTGAGTCTTTCGATGGAGTGTGCAAATTGATTATTTTTGGACGCTTTTTACTGTTATATAGTGACGTCATAGCCTTCATTACAAAATGCTTTGTCTTGTTCATGCCTGACGGTTTTGTTTGAGCAGAACTACGACAAAAAGGATGATAAACTACAGACTTAATTTGCTATTGTTCCATTCATTTCCAATGCAAGTCCTTAGGGAACGCACTTATGATATAGAGCTAAGAGAAAGTAATAAGCGAAAAAAAGCAAAAACCTTTCCTGTTGATATGAGTTTTATTACCATGAGAATTAAAATCATTTTCATATCATATCATATTGCTTCACACTTAACCTCGTTTTGCGTTTCAAAACAAGGGCTTAAGGCTGCTATGAAATAGCCTGATAATTCGCCTTCGAGTAGAAAGTGATTGTATCTACATAACAGGCAACCTTTTGAGAGAAGACTGAGAAAATATAATACAAACAGCGTTATACATGTGATGGAAAACCGTCAGAACTTCCGACCCACCTTTGATCTAAAAAACTCTGGAGAAAGAAGCATTTTCCTCATACTTTCATTTATTTTGCTGTGATAATGAAAACACTTGCAATTGCCTTTCCCAAACGTTAACTCGAAGATGGAGAGCTATTATTTACACAAAAGCTACAATGGTTTCGCTGTATTGCTAATTTGTTTAATTTAATTATAACAAAAATTAAATTCGTAACCAAATAGCCATTTTTCTTAATCCGGCCACAGTTAATCAAAAGGTGGAAAGCGCTATCCACCGGATAAATCTCTATCCAGTGGATATAGTGCAATTAGTTTCCTAATACTTATCCATTGAATAGAAATTTATCCGATGGATGATAGCGCTATCCAGCTTTTGACCAACTGGAGCCTGTAGTTTTTCTATCACTTGACATGTCACATGACCAAGTTCAGGCTTCTTTCTTGAGGGGGGTGGGGAGGGGTTTCAGTAATAACCACATTATTACTTAGTCTATCGTTGTCACTTGCATTCGACAATGCTAGCGCAAGCCTCTTTTAGGAGTAAAAGGAGTTAAATAATTATACAAAAATCGCACAGAGCGTTGGAAAATAGGGTTTAAATAAATGAAAACTTCTTGTGTAACATAACGCATCAACAATGAAAGAAGAAGAGTTATATATATATATATATATTTAGTATATACTAAAACAGTGGATAGTGTTTTTCGCGCGCTCTGATTGGCTACTCAATCAGTGAATATCCTGCACTATTCACTGATTCACCTCCAGTTCCTCCGAGCGAGCGACGCCAAACTCGCGTAAGTTGCGAGCAAAATGCCTTCTCGGTTTGCTGCCGTAAACAAACAAAGAAATTTCACAACTAATCAAGCAAGCTGTTTCCGAAATACACGAAGAAGGTGACGAAGTTCGGATTGGAAGTTTTAACAGGTAAAGCTTTGTCTTTCTGACACGAATTTATCGATAAAACCGGTGAAAAAGTTTTTTGTTTACAAATGCAAATTAAGTTTAAGTCTTGCTTACTTTATTTAGTTGAGTTGTTCATAAATAAGCTTAAAACTAAATTTAATAATCTTTTTTTATAGAATGATTTTAAATTCAAAAAGAATTCACAACTCCTTTTG